CCTTTAGTTCTTTGTTTTGCAGGTCAGTTTTTTGTTTGAGTTGGATCCTCAGTTGACCTCAGTTAAGTTGGGCCCAGATTCATGTTATTTTGTATCTAAGTTATTTTGTATTGCTTTTGAGCCTTTGTTAACCCTTTTAACACAATTAAATGAAAGTACTTTTTCAAATTTTGAACACCTTTTGTCCTTATTTAAGTTTGGTCCCTCACAATGGGTTTTCTGTTCTTTCATAGGTATGTGTGTCATATGTGGCTGGACCCTTTAAACGTTCCTTCAACTTTAATGTAATTCAACTAAAAACTAAAGTGTTCCAAGTATATTTTCTCTTTGTTTTGTTTTTGTTTCAGTAATGCATAAATTATTAAGGTAATTAGTAATTCCACATTTTAACATCAAAATAGCGAAATAAAACAATCAAAGGCTTGATCTTGAAATAAATATTGGAAGTAAGATCAATGGGGTTTTTTCGAAAATTAGATCAACTTTGTTGTTTTAGTTTAGAATGAAGTGCAAAACTCACCAGTTTTCCTAATAGAGATTTCTTTGCTTGTTTCTGTTGTAAAAACTGGATCTCCTCTTCCTCCTCTGCAGCTGTATAGACCTCCCTCTGAGATGCTGATGACTCTGTATGGCTCATTGTTTCCTCTGGTCCGGACAGCATATTGTTGCCCATTTCTGAACCAGTCAAACTTCCAGTCAGCAGATCCATCCACAGAGCAGGTCAGTCTAACACTGCCCCCTAGTGGTATGATTGTTTTCTCTGCTCTCAGTGTGGCTCTGGGTTTATCTGCTGTTAGGTTTAAAGGAAAAAGTAAGAAAAAAACTGAAAAAATGTAACCATACTATTGCATACTTTGGTGGGAGGCTCTTTTAACACAATTAACAATCTTTAGAATTGCCTTTTCAGTAATTCAATCATTCATAATGAAATAATAAATGGTTGTTATGGTTGAGAAAACTTTGAATGGCAGACTTAATTCATGTAGAATTTATTACAAATAAATGTTGCTGCTCTCAAACATGTAATGGAATGTTTTATTCCTGTATGTGTCCTATTTCTCAAATACATCTGGATTACGGGTGAATAATTTCAAAAAAATATCTTGTATATCCATTGGTTGGTCTCCCTTCCACTGAGCTCCTCCAGCCTCATAGATCTCACATCTCAGAGTGACTGTTTCTCCTCTGTATATGTTAGACCCACTGGGCTGTTGGATCACTGTTGGCTTAGAGACTGTTCACATACACATTTTTTGTAAGAATATTGACAAAAATAAAAAAAAATAGCAGGAATTACCTTGATTGTTTACATGTAACATGCAGGTATACTAATATTTACTTTGATATCTTCTAACAGACTCAAGAATAAAGTAATTATTACCATAACCCAAAAGAAAAGAGATCTTGAGATACGACAAAAATAAGAATGATATAGATACAAAAAGAAAAAGGTTTGATATACAGTAATCAGTGTCTCACCTTCAGTATATCCATGGCAGACTGTCCAGATCACTAAAATAAATATAAGAAATTAATTATTTGATCAAACCAATGTTTTTAACATAGTAAAATGAAATAACAAAACAAAAACAATAATAGATATAATATTTCTTAAATAAAAATGATAAGTTGTCAAATAAACAATATTAAATAAAATAAACCATA